TATTATTCATAGTAGTATCCAACCTACTCTTTTGCCTTGGCTCTGCCCACTTTTGGAAATATAAATAAATGGCAAGTGACCCTCTCTGTGAACATCCCTGACTTACAGGGTTTCCCAACTTGAGTTGGTCATATTATTTCTTTTAATTCAAAATGTGGAAAGCCAGCCCTGTTGCATTTGGGAAGACTTCCCTTTGTCCTCCTACTGAATGTCTGTTTAGTTCAGTCCAAAGAATGTTGTTAAAATCAAAATAAAGTGGGGAAAAGATATTGATTTTGCTAGAATAATTGTTAACTTTTTCTATAAACTTTTTCCATAAACTTTTTCCCATTGGAAATTTCCTCTTTTCAGGTATGTGCATGCCAAGTACGAGCAACTGGGAAAATGTATGCATGCAAAAGATTAGAGAAAAAAAGAATAAAGAAGAGGAAAGGTGAATCCATGGCCCTAAATGAAAAGCAGATTCTAGAAAAAGTCAATAGTCAGTTTGTAGTAAGTATTGCCAAATTTGTAATGGGCATCAGCTCTCTATTAACAGATCCATCAGGGAATGGCATTTATAACAAAATGTATGCAGTACTTCCAGGCTGCATCATGATTTAGGTCAACTTTCTGATGCTGGCTCTGTATGAGTTCCTTGGTTATTACTTTTGCTATCACAGTGGATTTTTATGTCTCATTCACTGGAATTTGACAGCACCATGTGGTTCCAAAGTAATTGTTTATGGAAAAAAACAGTCCTGCAAAGAGCTCACTCTATGATGGAATGCATACTCCTACTGATTCTCTACAAGACCCCACCACGGTCCAAAACTCTAGAATCTGCCAAGCCTCTTTTATTAACTATAGCTGCTGCAGTAAGAATATGTAGTAATAAATAAGATAAGTAATGTCAAATCTGTAGATTTCCTAACTTTTTTCCCAAAGAACTAAATCTGCATTACTGTGTAGTATCATCTTAACGCATCTTATGAAAATATCTGCCTATATTCAAGCCCTGTGGTCTTTTTGTAAAAATAGCCAGAATTCTATCCCATTCCTTCTTCCTTTTAACTGTTTGTTGTTGTGTCTTTCCTAATAGAAAATGCTAGCTATGAGTGATCTCTGGGCATGAAGAATTTTCTTGAACTATAACTATTGTTTAACTCTCACAACTGTCATTCTAGGTCAATCTAGCCTATGCCTATGAAACAAAGGATGCACTTTGCTTAGTTCTAACCATAATGAATGGGGGAGACCTGAAATTCCATATCTATAATATGGGAAACCCAGGCTTTGAAGAAGAAAGAGCTTTGTTTTATGCTGCAGAGATTCTTTGTGGCTTAGAAGACCTGCACAGGGAAAACACAGTGTACAGGTAAATTTTTTTTCATGCTTTTGGAAACTCACATGCATTTGGCTGTTTTGTTTCTAGGGAAATTCTTATAGTTCTCATGTATTACTTCCTGTTTCTATTTGCAGGTATCTATATGTTTCTGAGGTTTAGTCCTTAGGGTCTCTATTGAAAACAATACAAATTTTAAATTCTAAAACTCAGAGATCACTAACATAGGGCATTGAGAGTGGCCTTATTTTCATTTTGAACTTTGGTATGAAGAGATAGAAACTTTGCAGCAACATTAAAGCAATGGGGAGGAAGGGAAGGAGGGAGGGAATCTGTTTTTCCATTTTTTGTCATCAGGAAGCAGAAATCTGGGAGGAAAAAGAATCAATACCTTCTTTTAGTACATTTACAACAAGAGAGCAAAAATGCAACATAGGTACCACATCCAAATTAATTGGGATTTAGAGGTAGGGTTTAAGTGGCAAAATAGATGCTTCAACCCTTAAAATTCCCTTCCCCCCAAAAGGTGTGGCCTTGAGCCAACAGATACTGCACACTTCATCTTTACAAATATAAATAAATCAATGGGTGCTGCTTCAAAAATAGATTCTAGATCAATCCTAAATCAAAAATTAACTGAAAGAAGTAAAGTCATGACAAAGAAGGATTTTCTTTGGTGAAAGTGTTTAATTTCTCTGGAGGAAGAATTGCATTCTTTTCCTTGCAATTGAGTAGTGAGTACAGGAATTATAATAATATATGGTTATGAAAATAGTCTTACAAAAAAAATGATAATCCTATGACACAGCTTTTAGAAATAATTGGATGGGGGAATAAAGATTGAATAAGAATATATGAAAAGGATTTTTTAACCATTTATATCGCAATTTAAAAAACAAAGGATTAGGAAATACTTTATTTGATGGGTTGTTTTCCCTAATGGCCAGGGAGCTCTGAAAGAAAAAATGGGGAAAATCAGTCCTCTCCCCCAGATATTTTTTTCCTGCACCTTCACATCTCTACTCACATGCTTAGGTAAAACCTGCACAGGATTTTGTTCAGTCACTATGTTTGAGAGACATAGGGGACATTCATGTTAGGATGGGAGTCTCTTCAGTGCCTGGCTGAGAGATTGGCTAGGACCTATTACTTCTGACTTTAAGCTCCAGGATGTGCATGAAGCAGAAACTGTGTTTCATTTAGAACCTGAAACAAATATATTTTGGCTTAAACATCCAGAGAAACCATTCTGGAATATTGTGGTTGTTCCAGATTTTGTCCAAAAACAAATTCTAGAGGTGTCTTATGTGGTGAGTAGAGCAAAGATGATGTACCTCATCCTTCTCTCCCCTCCTCTGTCTCATGGCCTGTGCACTTGCCCACTTACCAGTTTTCCCAATTTTTTCTGTCCCTACCTTCCCTTAGCCACTGTCTTGAATTCAAGTGCATATCTGCCTCTTTGCCCCCCCCCCCCGTCAAAGAGATGCTACAGCCCAGCCTTAGCCACATACCCCCCCCCCTTCCTCCTCCTCCTCCTCTTTCTAAGCTAAACAGGCTTCATTGCCACATCTCTTCTTTTCTTGGGCATCCCTGCACTGCACTGTGCCAACCTGCATGTTTGAATCCAAGGTGGCTAAGGGGAGGTAGAGAAGAAGGATGCTGGAAAGATTAGGGGAGGGGTGGGTGAGACGTATTTGAATTCCTGGGTAGTGGTAGACCATCTGTCCATCCCCCAGTCTTTCCAGCACCTTCCTTTCCCCCTCTTCCGTAGTTGTCACACATCACCACTGGCTTTAAATGGAAGTCTCTCTGGCCTGCCTACTTTCTCCCTTCTAATCTTCCCAGTGCCTTTCTTTATCCCTAACTCTCTTTAGCAATGCTGCTGATGACCTTTTTTCCACTCTCCCCATCCCACAACACTTCTGCTTGGACCAGGCACATGTGGAGCAGATGCCATATCTGGCCAAACACATGTATTCTGGATCTATGCCCAGACAAAGCACATATGTTTTGGTCTTGACATGAACTACCCCAAAGTGACTGTTCCATACATGAAATGCCTGTCTCAGATATTATCAAGTGATGAGTAATTGCTCCTGATTCTTTATTTATGTAACACAGGAGGAGTTGTTATTCAGATCCTGCAAAATACCAGCACCATAGGGATTGTAATGGAAACAACCTTAACAGTTTCTGATAAAATCTGCACTTCTGCAAAATTCTGTCTATGCTTTATTCTTCAAAGTACTTTCCATTTCCATGTGATTTCTAATAGCTGAATATTTAGTCCTATGCTAAATACCATTTTGATTACAAGTTAAATGGTGTTTTTAAAGAGAAATAGAACCAAGAGGCATAGATTTGAAGCATCTGAAGGTCTGATAGCAATAAAACCTAAAGCCCTGCTTGAAATCACAAGATTTCAATCACAAAAATTAGTATTTTTTCCCCATGATTTTGCTTTTCCGTAAGGATAACTGACCATGAGAGCAGTTTATTTTCAAGAGAAAGTTCATGGCATTCATTAGCTCACCCAAAGATTTAATACAAAGACTGCTAAAAACCACGGTGCTATGTTGTTTTTTAAAACAATAATATTTTTGGTAATGCTGATTTATACATATTTATATCTGAGGTAACAGAATACTCCTAAGGTGATTTTACCACCTCACTTTTACCCAGGGAACAATTTACTTATATAAAATAATGCAAGTGAGTATGTTAAATAAGCCAGTGTACCTTCACAAATTATACTCCTATGAAAATTATGTGGATAAAGTTATGACACATGAATTGGCTAGAATACAATTCAAGTTGACCATCAAACAAATTTGCAATAAGAAGGGTCCAGAGACTCTCCCTCCCAGTATTTTAAATTGCTTTCATTAAATGATTTAAACACTGCCATTACTTAAAGGAAGCTTAATGATTTTTCCTCTATTAATCACTGAGGAACTTTTATTTGTTCAAAATATATCATGCGCACTATTTGTTATTATAAGTAAAGGCACATGAACTAAGAACATTTTGGTTCCCTTCCTTTTGTTAGTTTAAATTCCTATTGACCTCACAAGATAAACTTCACAAGATAAACCAATGCTAACAAGCCTACTTTTTAAACAAATAATACTGAGAAAATATGTGAAGGGAAGGAGGATGTAAAATGGATGGCTTTATTTTAAATACTACCGAATGCTTATTCTTGGTGTTTAACAAAAAGACACATGTTGGAGTGATTTGATAAAGGTTATTCTCAACGTACTTTTTCATCCTAATTTTAAACACTTCCTTAAAGAGCTAAATGTCTTCATTCCACTGCACTCTCTCACATTGGCTGTAGACAATTAACACTAGAGTCATCTCTACCATTAAGCAGAGTGAAGTGATCATTTCAAGCATTGGATTCTGAAGAGAGGAAGAACCATCTGCAGCCCCACCACACATGCAATACTGGCTGTGCTTTTTGAGTATCCGTCCATTCATAAGCCCTATTAAAACAGACTTAAAGCAGACCCTGTCCATATCTGTTCAGAATCTTGCAGAAGACACACCAGACATGTGCAGTCTTTTTTCACAGACGATTAACTTCTACCTGAATTCATTCATGATGGAGAGAGAAAGAGTAATCTGAAGATAGCTTCTTTCACAAGAACTGCACATTCTATCATCCTATATTTCTTAAATAAAAATAGCTAATGATTTTCATTGCAATTTCTCAGTTGCTGAGAAATTGAGGCGTGGTTTTCATATGGTCAAATCTAACTCTCTAGCTGCTGCTGCTGTCCACAATGACTAACTAGGAAACACATACAAAATACTCTGCATGATGCCCAGAGTCTTCATTAGTCACATCTAGCTGAAGTGAATGGCCTGAGATTGTGGTAGACTGTAATTTTCATCTTGCTGCAAAACCATGTTTTTAACTGACTTTTTAAATTATTTTACTGTGTAAACTGACACCCGACTACCTAAATAGTTGGAAAGAACATTCCGATGCTTGCAATTTCCATGTTATCAAAGCAGCTTCCACAGAAATAACTGCAGTCTTCCTCTTTTTTTAAAGGGATTTGAAGCCAGAAAATATCCTGTTAGATGATTATGGTAAGTCTGAGAGCTTTAGGTAAGACATTTCCTTCTACAGTAAAATGGCTTACATATAGTTGTGTATACACAGCCAAATCATTCTCTGCAATGGATAAGAGGCTAAACAATAACCAACATTTATCTTTGGATATAGAAAAGAATGGAACTTTTCCCAACAAGAGAGAGACATTATGAAAAGAAGAGCTCTTGGGTTAATATTAACAATGTTAACATAGATTAATACAAAGGTTGTATTTTCTCTTATCCAATAATGAGGGTGACCAATTGTGTGTGTCCTTTCTCTGAAGATGGGCTTCATACTTCTTGGCCTCATGCCTATGACAAAACAACATTGCTACCTATGTAAACAATGGAAATCATGCCTTTGACCAATCAATATTATTACCAGTCTAAACAAAGAGAAATAGTACGTTCTGTGCTTCAAGAATGAAAGATGGGGTGCCTGACTGTTCTTTATTTCAAATGCTCCTTCAGAGCTAACTCCCACTCCAAACTCAATTACACTGAATGATTTGTTCTGTTTATATCTGTACAGATTAATCAATCAGCTCAGCAACTTTCTGGATTGAATAGAGTCAAGAATGGCAGAATATACAGCCTTTTCTTGACTTCCAGCTAGTTTGGAAACTCATAAATAGTATCACTCCATTAGCCCTTCATGCAAGCCAAAGTTCTCCTTGTTTCAGAAGTGATCTGATCTCAGTAGAAAAGCACAAGACTCCTGGTCCAATCCTGAGTTAAGGGACCTGTAAAACATGGATGGATGGATAACCCACAGATCTGAACTCTCCTTCCTTCTCCCACCATGGCCCCCACAGCCTCCTTTGACTGTGATTGCTGAAAATTGATGGTACAGTCTCCTCTCATTTTGAGACAGGTGTACAAGAATCTGATAATGTAAGCCTACACTAGCCTTAACATACTTTCAAAAACAAAAATCCTCCTCTCCCAAGTTTTCTTCCTTGAAAGCCAGGTGGAAAAATGGTAAAATCCCATCCCTGCCCATGTGTGTGACAGAGCCCCTTCAGGTTTGGATTTTGTACTTTCCATAGTAGCCAAATCATTAAATACGATCTGTAGCCATCAAAAGGTTGCCCATCCCTGCAGAAATAGGTAACATAAGAGGCATGGAAAATTACTGCTATTCCAAGTAAACAAAATAACCCAAATAGAAAACAATCTGATGTACTGTAAAATAACACTTGGCTGAAATATTTAATTGCTTGATTGTCATACTTCGCGGTGGACAGCAGTAATCTTAGGAGTGGGAAAGATGGAAATATATTGAAAATGCTTATTGTAACTTATGTAATGAATTGGTCAGTTGGTTTGCTCTATTGAGCAGTAATCTTAAATTACAGGAAAGCAAATCTTAGTGGAATATTAGGAAATATATCCTGAAGGTAAAAATAGTGTGACAGTCAAGGAGTGTGAGCAACCACAATTTAAAGATGCTTGAATTTCTTTCACTAAACAAGGAATTACATTTGATGGTATAAGTGATCCCTCCCAACTCCACCATTTTCCCACCCCTGATTTTAATTTTTTCTCTAATTGAAAGGAATAAAATAAAATAAAAGCCTTGATCCCACTTCCAATGCAGTTTTGCTCCTCAGCCAAGTTCCTGGGACAGAATGCCTCTGTATAGCATCTTTTCAAGCGGATTTTGAAGAAATTAAAAGCAGAAAAAGCATGGTTTTTTTAGTGTTTAGTACATAGTCAGGATTAACATTCTTGAAATTCTCCCTGCTATCCCAGACTATCTCATCTCCAAGCTTGTACTTTTATGTGAAAGCAGAAAGCACAGGGACATTTGGCCAGCCCTAATATCAAGCAGTTTTCTTGATAAATTTTTCAAATGGGTTTCTCCAAAGGGCTGGTATCATTTTCTTCCCCACAGTGTTTAGGTTTATTTTGACAGTGTATTTCATAGCAAAATGATTGTTTTCTACAGGTTTATGCCTATGCTAGAACTTTGTTTCCCACCCACTTTAGGCCACATCAGAATATCTGATTTGGGTCTAGCTGTTAAAATTCCTGAAGGTGACTCCATCCGTGGACGAGTAGGAACAGTTGGTTATATGGGTGAGTGATTTGAAATAGTCTGTTGTTTTCAGCTTTGAAGATTATTATTTCAAACTCTGTAATTGAAAAAATCCAAACTGTGTTCATGCATGATAAGCAGTCACAATTCAGCATGATTGAACAGATGGCTGAATCTCTGACATGTAGGATCACTTAACCAAGTCACAGTTACTTGTAATTCTCCCTCAAGTGCTTGGGTGCAAAGTCTGTGTCCCCCAAATTGTATAAATCGTTAAGGGATTATATAACATTCAGCATTGGTAAAAATTGAAAATATCTATTTAATAAGAACAGTGCATGAAATAAGGAATTGTGAGGATTGTCAGTAAGAAACACGGCATCCATGAGTGGCCTTTGGGAGAACAAGATGCTAACTTACCTAATGAACCATTTGAATAACATCCAGCATTTAGAGTTTCTGAACTATCACTGTCAGCACCCCATTATTTTAAAGTTTGTACCAGATACTATTATGGCTTGATTCCTGCATTCACGCCCCCCCCCCCAAAAAAAGGCTATAGTTTTCAATATATACTTTGTACCAAATTCCATATCTGTATTACAGTTGACTGCAGGGGAATACATTTAATATAGGAATCGCTCTGCAAAATTTCAAGTAGTTTTTCATTCTTGATAGGTTTAATTAATTTCACTAAGCTGAATTAAGTGTGAAACAGTGCCCATAGATCTCCTGGCATATATTATTTATTTGTAAATCTTCGACAGACCTCATGCTTCAGAATACTTAAAAAGAAAAGAATGAAAATGAGATTATTTGCAAATCAATGACAGTAAGATTTCAACTTAAATCTGGAATGGGCATCTGAGATTGTTTCCTGGGTCTCATGCCACCTTGAGCACCACTTTTATGGAGTCCCCTCCCACCAACTGCCAAACACTAGAGGTGCAGTTTCTTGCCATTTTGAGTTGGAAACAAAATCATCATGATCGCACGGGGATTGCTGGCATGATTTAGGCAAACTAGAAAATTCACATCATTTCGATAATAACATCATGGCACATGTGGTATCACTGTGGCTTGTACCAGACTCCAGTATGTGGGAAAGCTAATTTCATATCATGTACAGTAATGTGACTTGTTTAATTATGTTAATAAAACTAATTAAATGTAGACGGTTGTTAGCGGTAAGCATATGCGATGCCCATATCCTTTAAAGATCCTTGAAAAGATCAATTTTATATTTTCTGAGGAGCCAAAATAAAGTACTTGGAATGATTCAAATGCTCCACCTGACTGATATCCTTGTGTATTGGATAGTATGGATCATCATAGGGTGAACAATGGTCTCCATTTCTATTTAAATCCTGGAAATACATATTTGAACTATCATGGAGAATAATTATTTCCAACTATATGGAATCAACCTACATAAATGGCTTGATTTTATTATTATTATTACCTGTGGAACAAGTTGCACTGAGCTCCCTCCTAGTAGCAACCATAAATTGATCCTTGGCCAGACTAAATAGAATCTCTTATTTCATTCTAGCCTTGACAGTCATGCTGATATCAATACAGAAGTGGGAAAATTTTCCATTGTCTCTTTCTTTTCTTTCTCCTAGCCCCAGAAGTCTTGAATAACCAGCGATACACACTTAGCCCTGATTACTGGGGATTAGGCTGCTTAATCTATGAAATGATTGCAGGACAGTCACCCTTTCGAGGAAGGAAAGAGAAGGTGAAGCGGGAAGAGGTAGACAGGAGAGTCTTGGAGACTGAAGAGGTGTATTCCCATAAATTCTCTGAAGAAGCAAAGTCTATCTGTAAAATGGTAAGGGGGTCACTTAGTGTGAAAATTAATTAGTAGACTGTATGGGATAATGAAGGAGAAGACTACTGTGGAGAAGTTTTTTCTAGCCCAGTGCTTATAGGTGTATTGGTCTTTAACTCCCATAGTCCTTGACCAGGATTTATAAAATCTGAAGTACACTGCATCTGGAGTGATACTGCTGAGGTACTAGGTCCTTTGTTGATCATGGTCCCAGGAAATGTTAAATTTTGCTACCCTCTGGACACAGCCCTGGTTTTCACAAGTTTCTTTTCCTGTGTTCATTCATTTATATAGTGAAAGCTGTTAATTACTTTTGTTTGCCTTTACGTGAGATTTATTCTCCCTTCAGGAAGACCTGTGCATTTTTAAATGTTGATTTCCCAGAGCTCTTCAGACTTGAAGCCAAGCATTTTTTCCACCATTACTTGGAAATGTCAGGACTTAGGACTTTTTACCTAAAAAAATATGTCTTCCACCATTAAACTAGGAGTCCTTAGAATGTGAGATCATGAGCAAATTTGAAGGAGGTCGTATTTGTTCCCACTTGGAGCAAGCTGCCTTCATTCCTTGGGATCTAGGTGCTGGGATTCTTCTTTGACAGACCTCACATTTATAGCAACAGTCCCAGCTCACTTCTGAGTACCACCCAAGGCTGGCTTGCTAGGTTTGTGGCATTTTTGACTAGTCTTACCAAGGATGGCTTTCAGTGGGTTTCTTTCTTGGGGCATTGTACCATAAAACATTGGTCAATTACTGTAATAAACTTGAACTAAACTGGGACATCATGCTGGGTTCTGGGGTGAACCTGCATGTTCTGAATGCAGCCCATGCTCTGCATCACTTCTACTTCTTGGAGAAGAAAACCTAATGTTGGAAGAGCGAGCTGAGTACTAGGGCCCAGCATGACATCCATTATAAAGAAGCTGAAAAAGAGATGCCCTTGGAAGAGGGGGAAGGTGGGACTTGGCAAAAGTGCCTTGATCCTGGACCGGTTGCCTTGGATCGTACTCAGGAGTAGGTTGAAGCTATTATAGGAACCATTGCTGAGAGCCACAAAGGCCATTGAAGGAGAACCCTGCTCCCAGGATCAAGTTCTGTCAGCTATCCAGCTTTGGATATACAAACCTGCTCAAACACACAGACTACAGTTTCACTCTTCATGGACAAGCCAACAGTTGGTTTGTCTAGGGAAAGCAGGATCCCTATCCAACAGCAGAAACCCTATCCAAGAGTGTTCTGACAGTTTTATCCATAGGGAAACACACACATTCATTTATCTTGAGGTCATAGTTAGCACCATGAAGTTTGAGAAGCCCTGCTCTATGTCTCTTCTCTGTAAAGATACAATTTGCCTTGTCCTTCTTTCAGCAGAAGTTGTGGAAATTAGAATCTACCATCTTTTCATGCCTCAAGCCAGTTGTGTAGTGTAGTCCAGTAGGCAGTTATTTTACATCCACATTTTTCTAGTTATGAAACCTCCTGTTGTGAATTGCTATGTAATAAGTCCAATATGACTCATTACTTGTTCTTAAGAGTTCAGTGTCACTGTATAATTTTTTTTTTAATTAAGTATTGCTGAGAGGAGGGTAAATTTTTCTTTCAAAATTAGATTTCACCCTGGTCAACATTTAAATAAGTTACAATGCACAGGGATTCTCAGGAATCAGAGTAGTGATTAGAATGTTGGACTGGGCCTGGGGAAACCCAGGTGGGACTCCATAGTGAACTGCATAGCTCACAGGGTTGCTGCAGAGTAAAAATGCAAGGAGACTGTGATCTCCTTAGAAAGTAGGAATAAAAATGAAATAAATAAAAAGGGATCTCTCTACAGTGACCTCTCTCTCCAATAATTTTACCAATGAATGGCTTCTTTTTTAGAGTCATGAGTGTGTTGGGAAAAAAAACTGAATCAAAGGAGTTTCCTAGGCTTTTCTGATTCTTACTGCTATACAGTCCAGAAACATAAATTTCCTGTGCTGCCATTTTCAGAGTGGCGTTATGTTCCAGTAAAACACAGTTTAGCAACACCCTCCGAAATGACCATCACTTGAGACTGTGGATGCCTTCATGCCAATACTGACACATGCAGGAAAATCTTAGAGGTTTGTTCCATTTACCATGTGTCATCCACCCATGCCTACTTTTAAGTACTGAATGCATTCACAGTTGGATCCACACACAACCAGATCCAAGTTCTAGGGACAAGGCTCACTGTTGAAAAATCCCTGTGATCTGTTTCCTAAAGTCAGTAAACGGTGCTTGTAAATGATGCTTCAGTAATATGCTGTGCCGGGATACTGTAATTAGTGTTCCTTTTCCATTTAGATTTGTCCAACTCTGGGAACATTTTAGCTGGAGAATTTTCCAGAATCATTTGCCAAATCTTGGCTGGGGTATGAACACATCTACCTGCTTCTGTTCCTTCAAGCTGAAGAATGTATATAGAAATAATCTGGTTAAGCAGTTGGAGGAAACCAACTGTAGTTAACTTTCTATTACCTGTGTTGCTGAGGCCTAATTACATAAATTCATTATTTTAATGATTTCTAAATTGCAAGCTTATACAAATATTTCATGCTTACACTGCCCACATTGTTAACCTTTCTACTGCTGCCCTCTGATGGACAAAGGGTGAACATCCTCTGGAAAATCTTTAGATGGTCATTTTTATAATCAACTAAGTTAACAGTCTAACCACATATGTTTGCTCAGAAGAGAGTCTGTTTGAGTCCAATCACCTTTTCTTTAGCTTATTTTTGTTACTGAATGAAGCTTGACATTACTAGCATTTAATCATTGAGCTAGTTTAGATTCTAATATTCCTCCGTGAAATACCTTTAGCATTTTTTCCCCAAACTTAAGTTGTAAGAAAGAAGACTGAAATAAAAGCCAGCAAAAGAGGATGTATTTGGAATACTAATGTAATGGAAGGGGAATGCAGCTCCAGGAGTAATGATGACATTTGTTGAATGCTAGAGTAATTGATATTTCAGTTACTGCAGCTGATAGATGAGTGAGGTAATAATGAGATTTTCAAGTTCTACTATTCATGAGTATTGCATGTGACTTCCAACTTCACATTAGCCATTGCCTCTTTCTTTTGCAGAAAGGTTTATACTTCTAATTAAAAGCTAAAGGCTGCATTTCAGCCAGCTGGACATCTTCTCTCTAAGCTCACTATGATATACATATTGAAGGATGAAGCACCTTGGAGATCAATGGAACTTATTCCCAGCTAACAATTATTCATGGAGTTTAATCTTCTGATCTTAATAAACTGGATTCTGTGGTAGGGCAATGCCTACTTTGAAAACAATTAGGAAGAATTACTTTGGACCTCGCACAAGCATCATACCTCTCTACTATTCCTTAAAGCCACCCAATATTCTTGTTGAGCCAGAAAAAAAAAAAAGATGAAAAAAATCAATGACTTTTAAAAGCAGCAACCTCTTTTGTTCAGGACTGCACAGAACAATCCTGTTCAGGATTGCACAGAAGAAAGGAAAGTGACTCTTAAAAGCAGCAACATCTTTTGTTCAGGATTGCACAGAAGCATGCATAATATTAAGTGGCTTTAAGGAATACTGGAAAGTATTCTATTCAGATGAGGTCTGAAGCATTTCCATCAAAACATGCACAGCCATACTAGATAGTGCTACTCTTTAAAATCAGACAGTTTATATTGCTTTAATGAGCTCAGGAATTTTGTACTCTCCAGATCCAAGCCTCAAAGCTCTTGAAGACGCTGTCTCTTTGCTGCCATCTAGTGGACTTCAAGAGGTTTGCAGCCTGGATTTGGTAAAATCTAAATATACTGGCACTCAAAACTTCATGTGTGGTTATCGGTAAAGATATATGCCGTAAATATATCTTACCTAAGGAACTAAAATATTGGAAAACTTTAGGAATTCTTAACTCCTTCAAGAATTCATCAGGCATAATTCTATAAAACATGTGATTAAGTTCAATAAATTAATCTTGTTTCTGAGGCTGTGAAACTATTACCCGAGTACTGGATATGTGTTTAAATATGTAGCACATTCTACCAACAGATCAAATCAAATTGAGTAATGCATGGAAAACTCTGTGCTGGAATTTCTTGAAGGTCATTGCCAATATGAGATTGTTGTTGTTTAGTCGTTAAGTCGTGTCCGACTCTTCGTGACCCCATGAACCATATTGCGCCAGGCCTTCCTGTCCTTCACTGCCTCC